CCCGAGAACCATATGCACCTGGTACCTCTTCACCTTCCATGGTAAATCTCTTCACACAATGTTCACTTAGATCAGACACAAAGATGATACCTTTGTGATTTATTGTTACATAGCGAGGGTCTGTGAGCTTGCCTTCACCAATAGTAGCCAATACATTCCCATCATTACAGTCAATAAGGTAGACACACTTGGCACCATCATCAACAACCAGTAGTTTACCATCTGCTGTCTCACATAATCCAATGGGATCTTGAAACTTCCCAATATTCCTCTGATGCTCCAGCTTCTTATCAAGTACTGCTATGCAATTGTTGTTACGATCAGCAGCTGCATAATATTGAGACTGAATACAACACAGACACATACATACAGCATCCCAGAACCTACCCTGGGCTTTATGCTGTAGGGTAAAGAAATCAGCAGTATAAATTGCAAGACCATCCCAACCATGAGATACAACAATGTTGTTGTTGTATCCTCTTGCAAGGCCTAGAATGTTTCCTACTCCTGGGTTCTTATCAGGTAGATGTACCCCCTTGGATATCTTAGGATCACAGTACTTTGGAACCTTCAGCTGTTTCCCCAAATTAGATGTATCAAGGATGCCAGGTTGATATTTGTAGGGGTCAAGAGGTACAACATTCTCTTCAGGCAAAGTGGACCATTCTTCCAATTTCTTAAGTACATTAGCACTGTAGTTGAGGACATCTACGGGATGGTTATATTTTCTGAGGTGATTCAACTGAAGCAATGTACTCTCAGTTATCCCTTTGTTAAGTTGGAACTGGTCCTGGTTTGCTTGGATCTTCTTCTTTTTCTCATTGGCAGCAGCTTTGGCTTTATTTCTGAGCTTATCAAAATGTTCATCCAATTGTTTCTTCGTAGCAGCATGGTCAGCATCTATGTCTCGGAGTAGAGCTTGTGTGTTTCTCTCACATGATTGAATGGAATCATGGGCTGATTGGATGAATTTATCAAATATTTCTTTCCTCTGAGTGGCTAAACCAAGTAATGCAGCTATGTTGCGTTCTTCTCCTTTTGCTGCTTCTTCAATGGCTTGACAGTTGTGACCAGGATGTTCTGTGATTGAGCAGTCCCTGCAAATAACAGCTTTATCTTGCTTGCAAAAGAATCTGAGAGGCTGATTGGGATGCTTTGGACATTCTATGTTGCGCTTTACATAATTATCCAGGGCAGCTCTAGCATCCTTCTCGGCATCTCCAGTCAAGTCATAGATTGTGTGGGATTGGGTTGCTCTCATTCTCCGATGGGCTTTATTGCAAGGCTTGCACATGTGTTCGGCACACTCGACACAACGGGACATGGCAGGTACAGCTTCACCCTCTTGAATGCAAATATCACAGTTGACATTCTGATTGTGTCCTTTGGTCAGCTGGTTCTCCAAGATCTCAACCATAGACTTGATAGTTATGTTTGTGCCATATGCATCAGCACCATTCTTTGGAATCTTGAGTTGCTTATTGCATACAGGGCATGGATATCGATCATTCCCTTTTGCTTTATGTTTTCCCATCCATTTCCCTATACATCTCTTACAAAAGGAATGTCCACAAGATATTGATTTAGGATCAGTTAATGTCCCGAAGCAGATAATACAGATCAAAAGTTCTTTGTAATCATCGACTAAAACTGTTTGGGGACTTGCAGATGCCATGTTTTTTTCAATTTGTCAGTGGCTGTGTTATCTATAAGAAAATAACAATACCTCTTTAGTGACAGACAAGTCTTAGCTAGATATATTCAATAAAATTATGTTTCTTTTCAAAAATAGATACAAGTATGACATTGTGACAAGATGACACTATTACTATTATGTGACCCAAAAGATGCCCTGAATGGATCATTTTTATGTCCTTTAAACAACTTGTTCAAAATTTCTTTGATTACACACACATCCTAGTTTCCTCTGTTCCTTTAGATGTGAATGTGTTTCAAGTGAGACATGGCTTATATTCAATATTAAAATTTTAGTACATTCAAACTTAGGTCATAGACTTGGAGGTTAAGCCTGACGCAGCTTAAAAAACTCAAAAAAACTTGTATACTGCTCCTTATGAATACTGCTGTTTCAATGCTAATGTAAATATCCTTTGCAAATATAAACACAATGTTTAAATATTGGAGTTATCTATTGATTCATCTAACGCAACTAAAGGTTAAAGTAAAGCAACCTCACCCGAGAATAGTTGAGTTAGATTCAAATCAAAAGTAGACTGGATAATGCTTTGAACATTAATGAAAAATGATATAAAATTGAATTAATTAACAGAAGTAGATCTAGAAAAATATTCTTAATGGTCTTGCTTCAACAATCAAGCATCAATCAAGCAATCTTCAATTCTCTTTTTGTCAAACAGTTCCATATCTTTCAACAAAAATACCCTAGAGTTTCAATCAAATTGAAATGTTATGTAAATACACATTGTACAATTTAGTCTGCCCAAAATTAGTTATCAATTAAACACCATAAATGTTAGGATATCCAGTCAGTTTGTAGGTACTTGTAATAACTTTAATGTCAAGTTTACCATCCTCAATATAATTAAGGTGGTTGTTCAACGTGAGGCCTAAAATATGTTTATGATAAAATGTTTATTTTATATTTTCATATTGAAATGACCATGATGTAATAGAGGCTTTTCCATATAGGTTTGAAATCTCGTTAAGGCCTCGTTTCTAATGAGATTTTAGGAGATCTGCATTTTTAACCACTAAAGACTAACATTTTCTTCTATTTGATGGCATATTTGAATTCTATGTGTTATTTTGTATCAAAACAACTTTGATTTGCACTGTTATCTACCTTTATTCAAATTCTAGAGATTTTCTAAGTTTTCTAATAATGAATCCCCATTGACACAATGTTGAAAACCCTTTAAAATGTCATTTTCTCTTATAAGGATTACAATTTAAATGTGAAATCATAATCCACATGTCAATAATATCATATAGTTACATTCCAATGGCGTTTTAAGTTGATCAAAATTAAATTACTTGTTAAATCAAGAAATTAAGTGACTCTTGCTATTAAGTGACCATGTTATTTAGCCCTACCAATACTCATGATGCCATCTATTTTTTCCATTTATATGGAAAAGGGTCAATTGCTTCATAACAACAAAAATATGTTAAAAATGTCATTACTGAGTCCATCAAAATAATTTATCAATATAAAGTTTAAAAAATCATTTTTCAAAAGTGTGATATCACAAAATTTATGTCCTAAGCTGAACACTTGTAAATCAATGCTCCTGTGCTATACCTTGGAGAATTCATGTTTTTTGAATTGATTACTACATTCATATACCATATTCCCTCCATTAAACACACAGGGCATCTCCCAAATTCTCCTATAGGATATGTCTCAAATTACAAAATCCCCAGGGAATTTCAAAAGTAAATATATGGGTGATAATAGGGTAAAACTAGATTCAGTCAAGTTCAATAGCAGAATGTCATTGTATGGGAAATATGTGTTACTAAATAACCATACATAACAGATATATCCCATACCAAGGTTCTAGGTTTATTGTACCTTCTAATGGTCCAAAATTTAAATAATTGATTTTCTTAAAAGTTCAAATATGTTTTCAGGAATAACTTTAGGGTATATACAGATGAGGCTGATTTTGAAGTCAAATGTTAAAATTTGAGTCCGCAAAACTACTTCACAATTTATTTTAAAACTTTGACATCTTTTGAACTCACTTCATTTATTTCCATACACTGCATCTGATTTGAGCTTTATTTGGGGCTTGGTATAATATCTATATTCTGTAATATTCCAAATATGTTGTTCTTTAGCACAACTTGCCAAAATTGTCTATTAAAGCGCAATCAGGTCTCCATTCTTGAACAAACATTTTTGAACTCTCATATTCTAGGTTGCACTGAACAAGCTGTTCCGGTTTGCCAGTAGTACAGTATTTGAACTAAAGGTGTCAGGTCGACTGTGTGCAGATATGTGTCGTGCTGCAGCTAAGACAAACCCTCCAGAAGCCTTGAAGCTGTTTATACCTCACTGTACAAGAGTTATTAAACAGTTGACTGAGAATGAAGATGTCCAGAAAGAGGAGCATTTAGATGATGAGTTACTTTGGAACATGCAAATGATGTCAGAGGTGAGAGAATGGAAGAAATATGAAACTCTGTTTAGAAAACTAGAAGAGCATATAAGGGTACTGGAAAGATGGTTTTTGATATAGGTTTTATACTGAGGGATATATGAGGGTTAGGTGGTTGAAGGTTTCGGATATAGGGTTTATGTACTGGGAGGTTTCGGCTATAGGATTAATCCCAAGGGATATATCTCCATTAACAAACATGGAAGAGTATATAGGTTTAAACAGATCTCCAAACACAGGCCTCCAGAACTCAATGAAGGAACCTAATGGATGAGGTCTTGAACCCTGCGTTTGGAGGATGACGTTTAAATGTCAGTTCAAATGAGTACTGCACATTCAAGTTGTTTTTACTGAAATCTTCAGCATTAGTTAATCTTCAGCAATATTCCTCTGAATTTTATCTTTGGCACATAATAAATATGTCTGTTTGTGATTCATTTCGTACCATCTCGTAAGTCCAGTGAAATAATTGGGTGTTGTCTGGTCTTTAATAATGCATTGATGTAAAAATCATTGTGCGTGTTTAACTCTTTAACACTGACTATATAGCGTGGGTAGAGGAGGATGGGACCAACCAAATGTGAAATATTTAGTGTCGATCTTTAATTCTAATGAGCACTGATTTCTTGTATGTGTTTTGCTACTTGTAAATATTTTTGTTTAATATAACATGGATCATATGCCCCTTGGGGTGTCTTCCACTATTGTGATCGACTTGTATTATTTGGAATTTAGGAAATAAATAAAACATAAACATAAACATATTTTAAAAAGTTTTCAATTATTTGTAGGTACTAAGGTGCAATGGGTCAGATATATTACCATATAAAGAAGACATTAAGGTAGTTCTGCAGAGAACCATCCACCTTACCTGTAAACAGGGCTATGAGCTCTCACATGTTCTGCTGCAACACCTCCTTAAGGCGCTAACGATGATCTATCCATTGGACTTTAGGAGCATACCTGAAGATTTCTCACAACCGTTCAAGGATTATTTGCCAATCAGGGTAATAAAACATTTTAAAAAATTTTTTTCAAATTAGGACTGGGGCAAATCTGCAGACATCCATGACTTGAAGATGGTCTGGCACACACCTAGTGACAGTGAACTAGAGTTTGTACAGGAACTTATAGACGCTATTCTTGTCCCCGAACTACAGGTGATGGACAGTTTCGTTGCAGGTGAACCTTTATCAAGGTGAGTTAATGATTTAATAACAGTGAATTGATATTGGCTATTTCATATTTCAAAGAAGTGATTTGATTGAAATTGGTGAGTTGATCTATTGTGGTGAGTTGATCTATTGTGCTGAGTTGATCTATTGTGGTGAGCTGATATATTGTGCTGAGTTGATCTATTGTGGTGAGTTGATCAATTGTGGTGAGTTGATCTATTGTGCTGAGTTGATCTATTGTGGTGAGTTGATCTACTGTGGTGAGTTGATCTATTGTGCTGAGTTGATCTATTGTGGTGAGTTGATCAATTGTGGTGAGTTGATCTATTGTGGTGAGTTGATCAATTGTGCTGAGTTGATCTATTGTACTGAGTTGATCTATTGTGGTGAGTTGATCTATTGTGGTGAGTTGATTGATATAGCTGATTTGACATAAGTTCATCTTTATTGGTGGAGTGATATGCATGAGTTATTGATAAGTTGATATGTAACATTTCCCATTCTTTTTTTTATCACACCATCGGTGGGATATAGTCGTCATACTGGTCGTGATCGTGGTCGTGATCGTGATCGTGATCGTCCCGCTTTTTGTCATCGCCGTTTAAGGAAAACTTTTGGGTGGCCATCTTGTTTTTTGGCGTCCATTTTGAAGGTTTTTCGAAAAATCTTGTCATTGCCATTTCAGGAAAACCGCTCATTGGATTTCTTTCAAATTTACACAAATGATAGAGGATATCAAGTACTAGAGCTGAATAACTTTTGGGCGGCCATCTTGTTTTCTGGCAGCCATTTTGAAGATTTTTCGAAAAATCTTGTCATCGCCATTTCAGAAAATCCGCTCATCGGATTTCCTTCAAATTTACACACATGATAGAGGATATCAAGTACTAGAGCTGATTAACTTTTGGGCGGCCATCTTGTTTTCTGGTGGCCATTTTGAAGGTTTTTTGAAAAATCTTGTCATCGCCATTTCAGGAAAACCGCTCATCGGATTTCCTTCAAATCTACACAAATGATTGAGGATATCAAGTACTAGAGCTGATTGGGCGGCCATCTTGTTTTCTTGTTCTTGAAATTTGTAAACATAATAGCAGAACAGTTTTCCTGGTTCATAGTGTCTGCCTATTTGATGGTGTGATCTCGTTCACGTCCTGTGCCTTGTTAAAAGTTTTCAGATTGATTAGTTCCCAGTGACATAAGATATTTATAAATTGATGATCTATAACATTAAAAATTGGCATTCTATTTTTCAAGAATTATTAATAGTAGTTTGGAGAACTCAGTGCTAAATATGTGTTGTTTATTATAGGGATGATCTAAAAGCAAGGCTGGGAGTAATACTCAACATTGTAATAGGAGCTGGCAATGAACTGCCGATGATAGAAGGAGAAGCTGTACACCTGTAAGTCTCTATGTATGATAAGAAAGAGAACCCAAACATCTTAAGTCTAACTGTAAACACTCTCACTTTGTATTTGACATCTCAGAGCCTGGTATTTTATTATGACTGATTTAACGATGAAATTGTCATTTTTTAAGTGTTTTTTGTTATTTTTGTCATCCAACTTCTTGCAACAGTGCTTACATGTTTAAGAAATAAGAAACGATCCTCAAAAAAAGTATTTGAACTGAGAAGCAAATGTGTTATATTTAGTCAACAGAGTATGTATTTTCTTTGTACGTATTGTTCTTGATAACATATACTGTACATGTCGTAATATACAATTAATTTTCGTGAATATTTTTCAAATCCACAGCAGTGTCAGGAAATTTTTTTTTATTCAGTAGTAATATTACTTACATTTGATACAATGTAATATTCAGTTTGATATCTTTTTGGATAAACAAGTATAAAGCATTTGATTACAATTTTTAATTACATTGTACAATATTTTGTTAAAAACTTTCAATTTTTCATCTAGGCAAATGAACTTGATTGATTGGTTCGAATTTCATCTTACGTATTGTGTATTTTCTTTTCCTTGTGTTTCAGCATTGACAGCATGGTGCCTTTAGGCAGGTGTAGTCATATATGTAATATTGGAACATCACAATTAACAGCTCAGGGGAAACATGTACGGCGTAGGATAGCAGAAACCATGCAGCCGCTACTAAGTAAGTCTCTTGTATTTGGTATTTCTATACAGGGTGTCAAATAAATATGTTCTCTCCTTGATTTCAAGAGTATGAACTTTTGTGCATTAAAGTGCACAAAGGTGAGCTAGTCATCCAAAACTTCTTGTGGAGTTGCTCCATGAAGCCTAGTTTTAATCTGCTAAAGAACAATTCAGATATCATACTGGCAAAAAAAGTTAAGCGACATTTTGTGGATGTTAAAGTTGAGGGGGAGTACATATTTATTTGACACCCTGTTCTATTCAGAGTCTTGCCAACTCTGGGTATCTTCAGAAATATTTTGAGAATAAATGCCTTTTTGGTGTAAAAAGAGTGTTTCTATTTAAGAGAAATTTAACATTATAGGCTTTGCACCCATGTCTTATTGACATGAAACACCCATTAGAAGTGTTGTTTTGATTTATAGATGTCAAACCATTTTACATTGCTAGTACAAAGTTTTTGCTTCTGAGAACTAGCTTGCATACCAAACTGAGGCTGTAGTAAAGAATTAAAATTTTCAATAAATGAAAAAATTCCTGCGTCAAAGTGTTAAACAGTAAAAACTGGAATGAAGCATAGCGTGATAGAATGAGAAACTGCAATTTTTATCTTACATTGTTCATACATTGAGCACTTTGTAGTCTAATAACTGGGTTACCTCATTTCTAGGTCATGTATTAACAAACACAGAGGATGACACCAAATCTCTGATCCATATATTGAAGCTATACAATGTTGTCATGTACTTCAATGGGCAATTGAAATCTTACATTGAGCACTTAGTGGTCTAATAACTGGGTTACCTCATTTCTAGGTCATGTATTAACAAACACAGAGGATGACACAAAATCTCTGATCCATATATTGAAGCTATACAATGTTGTCATGTACTTCAATGGGCAATTGAAATCTTACATTGAGCACTTAGTGGTCTAATAACTGGGTTACCCCATTTCTAGGTCATGTATTAACAACCACAGAAGATGACACCAAATCTCTGATTCACATATTGAAGCTCTACAATGTTGTCATGTACTTCTATGGTACTGACAAATCCGACTTTGATGGCAGGTGGAGAAGCTTCCAAATGGTCAAGACCACAACAGAGGATAAGGTCAGTGTGCTTGTTCTAAACTCTCTAAAACTCTTAATGATTCTGATATTTCTTATCTAGTTTATCATTTTTTGTTGTCACATATTTTTTGAACTGAGACTAGATAGTTTACAAGTGTGAAGTGTTCAAAGCCAGGTGGTAGATATATCCTTAGAAAAATGTTAACTTGCAAGAGAATGGAAATCAAAATTCTTTTTTATTGGCCTGATTCAAGCTCAGTGATTTTGGACAGACTTTTGTATAATATAGTATTGTTTGTGATTTTGCAGTTACGAGGAGGAAAGCGTCACATGAGAGCTCTGATTGTCGACAGGTGCCAATTGCAGCATGAACTGCGAGTCGTACAAAAAAGTAACAAGTCTTTCACGCCACTTCATCTAAGTCTGTTTGAAGACCTTCTCAGGTTATCTCTGAGCCACTACAGTGAGGTAAGAAATCCCTTCCCCACAAAATATTACCCCTACCTATGCTGTATCAACAATAAATACTTCAATATGGTGAAGAAATAAGTTTAAATATTAGGAATAGCAATGATCCCATAATTGGCGTTACCCTGCACCATCTCCTACATGTTTAATAGCTCCCTTCTTCTACTTTTAAAATAATCATGACTTTTTTAGGTAAGGAATTGTTAAACCATAATAATGGGGGAGCATAGGTTTTCCTGTTCCCTACAATGTATAATAGCTTCCTTACTTTTTACTTCATATGTTTTCCTTTTAGGTTCGTAACCAAGCTTAGTCAGTGCTGTCAACAGGTTTTCCCTTCTTGTATTATAGTGTCCTTATAATTTTCCTTTTAGGTTCGTAAACAGGCCCAGTCAGTGCAGGCAACAGGTTTTCCCTTCTTGTATTATAATGTCCTTATAATTTTCCTTTTAGGTTCGTAAACAGGCCCAGTCAGTGCTATCAACAGGTTTTCCCTTCTTGTATTATATCATCCTTATAATTTTCCTTTTAGGTTCGTAAACAGGCCCAGTCAGTGCAGGCAACAGGTTTTCCCTTCTTGTATTATAATGTCCTTATAATTTTCCTTTAAGGTTCGTAAACAGGCCCAGTCAGTGCTGTCAACAGGTTTCCATCTGTTTGCTTACTCCTATAGGAAACTACTACCTGAGATCATGTCTCATCTCAAGGTGAAACCAGACATGGATGAAGAAAAGGCCCATGTGCAATTCAAGGTAATGTTAATGATCCTAGCTCATTTCTAGATTAATTTTTAGCAGTCAAGAATTTTTCACGGATTTGAGGCTTATCCAAAAAAATCCATTTTATTTAATAATTTGATGCTCAAATATTAATGAGCCTGCATGCAATAGCTAATTGCTAGATTAACTTTTATCAGTCAAGAATCTTTCATTTAATTTGAGGCTTACATGTATCTACAATAAATTAGATTTAAAGGCCTTATATAATATCCTAGTAGGAAATTTTGTTTTGAATTGTGACTTAAAGTGTAACTGTTTTTATGTCATCACCACAAGTGGTAACATTGTTATGGTCTCTAGCTTTTTGTGGACAGTGTTCAGCAGTTGGTGTTTGATGGTTGGTGTTGGGCATTTGGTGTCTATAACAAATGGCTGTTGCTGTGACATTTTGTATGTTAATGCCTTGTTATATTTAACCTGGCATCACACTGCTTATCGAGACATCTTTTTTTCTAGGGAGCGCTATATGTTTTGAATGGTACAAAACAGCGGAGTCAAAAAGTACCATAATCTGCAATATTTTAATATTTAACATAGTTTTGGGAGAAATTGCTTTTTGAGACACATCTTTTTTCTAGGGGGCGCTTTATGTTTTAAATGGTACAAAGCAGCGAAGTCTTATATGCAAGCGTAACTGGGAGGTCATGGAGCAGGTCTGGCCAGAGCTCTGTCAAGCCCAGCACTCTGAGAAACCATCCATATTGAAGATTATTGATGAAATGGCTGATAAAATACATAAGAATGCTGAGACGTGTGCTGTGAATATTGAAGTAAGTGATAAAATACACAAGAATGCTAAGACGTGTGCTGTGAATATCGAAGTAAGTGATAAAATATACACGAATGCTGAGACGTGTGCTGCGAATATTGAAGTAAGTGGTAAAATACGTATACACAAGAATGCTGAGACGTGTGCTGTGAATATTGAAGTAAGTGATAAAATACACAAGAATGCTGAAACTTGTGCTGTGAATATTGAAGTGATAAAATACACAAAAATGCTGAGACGTGTGCTGTGAATATTGAAGTAAGTGATAAAATACACAAGAATGCTGAGACGTGTGCTGTGAATATTGAAGTAAGTGATAAAATACACAAGAATGCTGAGACGTGTGCTGTGAATATTGAAGTAAGTGATAAAATACACAAGAATGCTGAGACGTGTGCTGTGAATATTGAAGTAAGTGATAAAATACACAAAAATGCTGAGACGTGTGCTGTGAATATTGAAGTAAGTGATAAAATACACAAGAATGCTGAGACGTGTGCTGTGAATATTGAAGTAAGTGATAAAATACACAAGAATGCTGAGACTTGTGCTGTGAATATTGAAGTAAGTGATAAAATACACAAGAATGCTGAGACTTGTGCTGTGAATATTGAAGTAAGTGATAAAATACACAAGAATGCTGAGACGTGTGCTGTGAATATTGAAGTAAGTGATAAAATACACAAAAATGTTGAGACGTGTGCTGTGAATATTGAAGTAAGTGCCTCAGATAAAATAAACACATATTCTGATCAACCTAATGCATGCTCATTAAGGTTAAGGAAGAGGATGATTAAGGCCTGTTAAAGATGTCCTTTTCAGTAAATGATGTCAATTCAATATTGTTGTGTACATTTGGGGGTCAAAGGTGGAAACCCATTTTATTCTCATCCCTGATCAATTTCTTGTTTGCATGAGGGAAACAATTGGTTGGTGCAATATTGACAGAACCATAGTTTAGGGTTCGTTTTAAGAATGAGAGTGAGGCCAAGTCAAAACAGTGAATTAGGGGAAATGGTCCTATCATCGCATGGGTACTCTGGAAAGCTACTGACTGTTTCAAATTTGATAATTTAAACTTATTTTGAGGGTATGGAACGAAAGATCAACCTTTCTTCTATAATTTGAATTGTGTTTGACATTTCTCAATCTTTGAATGCTAACACTTTAAGACCCCTTAGACTTGCATGTGTGGTGGTCCTAATTGTCGCACAGTCATCCTAATTATCGCATGGTTGTGTTTTGAGTGTTATTTCATGATACTGGATACATTTCACTGTTAATAATAGATGTATACATATGCTATAATCATTTTTCTATCAGTTTTAGTGTAAACTATCCACAAAATCTACAATTCAGTTACTTTATATTTGGAGGGGGTCAAACTTTGTCAGACGAATTTCACTTCTTGCGCAATCGCATTTATGACAATAGCGGAAGTAAATAATTTTTTTTAAAATGGAGAGATATTTCTAAATATATTAATAAATCATGAAGATTGGGAGTAATGGTGTTGAACTGGTGTTATTAACACAGGGTTAGGACTGTTTCCCCTACAGGTGTTCATACATGTATAACAATATAATCCCCTGCATATTCTAGACATCCCAGTCCAGTATAGAAGCAGCCAATGCTGTATTTACATGCACAAGTCAACCAAACCCAAGTGTATCTAGTGCTACACAGACCGAGATAGAGGAAGGGAAACAAGAGGAAATAAATAGGAACACTGTTCAATGGATTCAGTGAGTATATATTTCATTCATTCATTTTTTATGGGTTAAAATATTTTGTTTGCAAGTGATTGTACATGTAGTTTAAATGCCTTTATATATTGATAAATATTTTGTCTGATTTAATTACTTTTCAACCTTCATTTTGGAAAATACCTATTAACTTTGGAAAAGTAAACTTTCAAAGTTAAGCATGCAGAAGTTACCTTGATCCGTATTGGAACAATACATTTATTAATTAATTCTGTTGTATTCCAGGGGGTACTTAAACCTAGTAGAGACTCTGATATCCCTCATAAACAGTGGAAAACTGTAAGTAGTTGTATTTATTAAGGGTTTATTAAGAATAATGTGGTATTATATCCCAAGATACATTCAATATACCAGGTCACTCAATAAGTCATGAGAAAAAGCCTTGTAATAAAGAATCAAATATCAGGGAAATATTCATTTCATCAAAAATTGATCTAGAAAACGTCATTTTTTGCATAGCTTATATAAGCCAAACATAACTGATATGGATATAAAGCTAAAATCTGTATTATTTGATATGAAATTTTTCAGTCGTTGGAAGTTCAGTGAGATGTCAATGGAATTGGTGTCACTGATGTTACGCTTTGATGTCAGGATGCCTGTAAATGGCGTCAGGTTATTCATGAAAAACCTTATCAGTGAAACTCTCACAGTCAGAAAGGTAGGTTAGATTGCTAAATCATTTTTCAAGTTGCAAGATTTAGGAGAATGAGTCATTAGCCAGAATTTTATTCTGTGTTAAGTTATCCTTTCTAAAGACATGCCAATGTTTTCTTTATAAAGTTTTTCATTTATTTTCTGAAACAAGAAGTAACAAGAAGTAATAATTTATCTGATAAATAATATGGAGAAAATGGAGTTGTGCATTTGCACTTTATAAGGGATGGTATAAGAACAACACATTGATTTATGAAACAATAATTTGAAAAATTATATTTTTTCAGCTATGTGTTAGTTCAGTGGCTGCTATACTACAGCAGCAAAAACAAAAATTCAAGAAAGTAGAGATAGACCCGTATGCCCTTAGTGGTACACAGCGCCCCCTGGCGACAGCCCCAATGAGGCCTGGTGATCGGGCTGACAACCAATGGCATGTTTACAACAAAGACACAGTGCCAACTACAAAGGAAGACTTTGATAAAACCACCTTGATTCACAAAACCTTTTGGGGCTACTACGCATGGCCAAAGTAAGATTTTAAATTGAGCATTTTTTATATTTATGGAGGCATTAGCCCTATCTTTCAGCCCTATGTACATTGTACAGCTCTGCTTTAATTTTATTTGCCTATATCTTCATATATCAGACTTTTGTACACCTCTTCCCTCATGTTTCATATTCGCATATGCCCTCACAGTTCAGAAACAACTGTTACCTTTGTATTAATATTTCTATGCCATCTTATTTTAGAGACATATTGTACAACTATTCTCTCTTATTAGGCACATTTACACCTATGCCCTCTTATTAGGCACATGTACACCTATGCCCTCTTATTTTAGGCACATTTACACCTATGCCTTCTTATTTTAGGAACCTGTACACCTATGCCCTCTTATTTTAGGAACCTGTACACAAAGGCTCTGTTATTTTAGGCATATGTACACCTATTCTCCCTTATCTTAGGCACATGTATACCTATGCCCTCTTATTTAAGGCACATGTACACCTATGCCCTCTTATTTTAGGCACATATACACCTATGCCCTCTTATTTTAGGCACATGTACACCAAATATCTTATTTTAGGAACCTGTACACCTATGCCCTCTTATTTTAGGAACCTGTACACATATGCCCTGTTATTTTAGGCATATCTACACATATTCTCCCTTATCTTAGGCACATGTACACCTATGCCCTCTTATTTAAGGCACATGTACACATATGCCCTCTTATTTAAGGCACATGTACACCTATGCCCTCTTATTTTAGGCACATGTACACCTACACTCTCTTATTTTAGGCACATGTACACCTATGCCCCTGCAGCACAACAGCCAAGATTAGATAGAAAACTGGAGGATTTATCAGAGGAAGAGAAGCCAATATTTGAAAGTTTCTCAGATGCAGACTATGTGGCAAAGTTTGTGCATTATCTAACTCTAGAGGACCAGAAAGGACGCGACAAATTCAACTCAAAGAACTTTTTACTATTCAAAGTAAGCATACATACATGTAGTTTATAGTGCATGTTTTTATTGGTTTTCAGATTCATGTATGAAATGTTTACATGTTGAAAAGTTTTGTCAGCTAAATCATATACCATCATAAATATTCATTTAGATATGCTAGTTTAGTTGCAAAAATTGCTGTTTACAGGATCTTCATGAATTTTACTTACAGTGTACTATCTAAATTGTGGAGAGATGGATGACAATTAATAAGGTCTAGGATATCAAAATGTTCTAACTTTTACACTTTCAGGGACTATTCAGGAATTTTGGAGATACATTCCTGCCTGTGTATAAGCCCCATGTAGAAAGACTGGTCGCAGACACAGCTCACGACACACATGACTATAGCCAACGTGTCGGTGCTGAGATAATCGCGGGTCTTGTCCGCGGATCAAAAAACTGGCCTTATGAAAAAGTGACGGCCATGTGGGAGTGGCTGTGTCCAGTTTTACGAACTGCTCTGAATAATATGACAGTGGAAACTGTCGAGGATTGGGGGACATGTTTCGCGACTATGTCCCAGGATCGGGACCCTAGACAGTTTCATCCATTGTTTGAACTTCTTATGGAGGATCCACTGAGAGGAGTTGGTGGCTCTTTTAATGATGCAAGGTGGGTGAAATTTAACCAGTGATTGCTACAGTAAATACAATAACTTACATATATTACAAACCAGGACAGGTATCAGGATGGTATTGGTAATCATGGAATAAATCAGTAATAACAACCCCATTATTGATATCAAAATTTTCCCTCGTTATTATATATAATATCACCTGGTGTATAAACATATCATGAAAACTGCATATTGTATTTCAGCCGACTCATTGTCCTACAGGGTGTCCTGTATTTGTGACTGACTTATCGTATTTCAGCCGACTCTGTTCTACTGTACATGGTGTTCTGTATATGTGACACACTTTGTTTTGTATTTCAACCGACTCTGTTTACTACAGGATGTTCTGAACATGTGACTCACTCTGTATTATATTTCAGCCGACTTTATGTACTACAGGGTGTCCTAGCTCAACAGGAGTGGCGTGTGAACCAGTTGCTCCACAGACTTTTGCAGTATCTTCAACCATATCTCACTCATGCCTATAAGAACGTCAGAGACAGATTGGGCAGGTAAGGGTTTCCCAGGATTCTTTCTGATAATAATTGTGATGAATAAATGTCTAAGGAAATAATGTGAATTTTTTTGTCTTGTAAAATAAAAATAATTTCTAATTTTTTCATATAACTTAATCTGACTGATGATTGATCTTTGAAACAATTAATCTGATGCAGTGAATCAAAAGTTTAGAAATCAGAATGTAATTTAATTGCAAGAAATCAAGTCTCTCTGAATGTTGTTGTTTCAGTGTTTTAACCAGCATTTTAATGTACGACTTCCATGTTCCATCTGGAGAGAACTTAACTGCACCAAAACGTGAAGAATTTATAGAACAACTCATGCCTAGTCTAACAATGCTTAAAGATGTCCAGACAACAAACACCAATAACCATCAGGTTAAGGGTGAGTAATTTAAAATCTTCTTTCTAATTGGTCAAAAGGTGTATGCAACTGTATTCTGATTGGTCAATTGAAGTATACAAGTGCACTCTGATTGGTTAACTGAAGTATACAGCTGCACTTTGATTGGTCAACTGAGGTATTCAGCTACCCTCACCAAAAATTTCTCTATCTCTAGAGAACTCTCTAGTAGCTAGTGTTTCACTAGTGATTTCTCTAGTTCAGTGTCTCTAGTAATTCACTAGAGAATCACTAGTGACATTTCTTAGTTCTCTAGTAATCTCTACTTTAACTAGTGAATAGCTCTCTCTAGTAAATCTCTAGTATTTCTCTAGCATTCTTAATTCAGTACATTTACCATTAGTTCACTTATTTGCCAAAGGGTGGCAGTATTATATGCAAAGATATAATCCAAAATATTAATTGCAAAATTACTACTTCAGAATCTATTGTATTTTTTATCTTGGTAAACATGTTAAAATGCTGATATTATAAATGAGTTATGATCTTGATTTGAACTTTTATTAAGGATAACGTCTCATACACTTGTAGCAATGCAATATATTTGGTTTATATATTTATTACCCAATCAAATGAAATCCTGAGGAATATAGCGAACGCCTCCATCCATCTACACGTCTGTACATACAGCCGTTTGCACATCTGGGAGATAACTCAAATACATTTGGCCCGATTTTGTTCATATTTTGTAAACATATAGCCTATGGGGGTAGAAGTTCTGTTCAAAACCCAACTTTCAAAATTGCAGATCGTTTAAAAATGGTGGCCATTTTCACACTACCCTACCATGTGACCACATTTAAAAGGGAAATAGGGTACAGTTAAGCTGCAAATGGAGGACGTGGGTTTAATTCCATATTTCTGAACGTAAAATACATTTTACATTTATTTCTAGTGATCTACCAAACATATAATAGATTCATCAAGCAGTTTGTAGAATATTGTTGGCAAAAACCCACTATAGGCAAAGATAGATAATAGTCGGCGCAGTGAAGCAAAACTCGAAAGTAATACAAGATGCATTTCAGTAAATTTATTAACGTACAGGTAGCATGCAAGTTTCACTTCGAAAATATTTCTTATTTTGACATTGATATGTAACTGTAATTTAAACCGCTTGTCATTGGGTTATATTTAGATACAAAATTTAGTTTAAAAGATGCAAATATGAGTACCAATCTTGGTACCCATTTGGGCATAATAGAGCTTGCCTGATTCAAAGATGAGAATATGAGTACCGTTCTTGGTACTCATTTGTGCAAAATAAAACTTTCCTGATTAAAAGATGCAAATATGAGTACCATCATGGTACTCATTTAAGCAAAATAAAACTTTCCTGATTAAAAGATGCAAATATGAGTACCATCATGGTACTCATTTGAGCACAATAAAACTTTCTCGATTAAAAGATGCAAATATGAGTACCATCATGGTACTCATTTGAGCACAATAAAACTTTCCCGATTAAAAGATGCAAATATGAGTACCAATCTTGGTACTCATTTGTGCAAAATAAAACTTTCCTGATTAAAAGATACAAATATGAGTAGCATCATGGTACTCATTTGAGCAAAATAGAATTTTTCTGATTAAAAGATGCAAATATGAGTACCATTGTGGTACTCATTTGAGCAAAATAAAACTTTCCTGATTAAAAGATGCAAATACAGTATGAGTACCATCATGGTACTCATGTGAGCAAAATAAAACTTTCCTGATTAAACGATGCAAATATGAGTACCATCATGGTACTCATTTGAGCAAAATAAAACTTTCCGATTAAAAGATGCAAATATGAGTACCATCATGGTACTTATTTGAGCACAATAAAACTTTCCAGATTAAAAGATACAAATATGAGTACCATCATGGTACTCATTTGTGCAAAATAAAGCTTTCCTGATTAAAAGATACAAATATTAGCGGCATCATGGTACTCATTTGAGCAAAATAAATCCTTCCTGATTAAAAGATGCAAATATGAGTACCATCATGGTACTCATTTGAGCAAAATAAAACTTTCCTGATTAAAAGATGCAAATATGAGTACCACTATGGTACTCATTTGAGCACAATAATACTTTACTGATTAAACGATGCAAATATGAGTGCCAATCTTGGTACCCATTTGGGCACACTAGAGCTTGCCTGATTCAAAGATGCGAATATGAGTACCATTTTTGGTACTCATCTGTGCAAAATAAAACATTCCTAATTAAAAGATACAAATATGAGTAGCATCATGGTACTCATTTGAGCAAAATACAATTTTCCTGATTAAAAGATGCAAATATGAGTACCGTCATGGTACTCATTTGAGCAAAATACAATTTTCCTGATTAAAAGATGCAAATATGAGTACCATCATGGTACTCATGTGAGCAAAATAAAACTTTCTTGATTAAAATCATCACCATCATTATAATTAGCCTTGGTATTATCTATAATATTTGTCTGACTGTTGAAAATCAACTTCTATACTTTATAGAATATTTTCATTTCATTTACTTATTCTGAAAGATCATATTTTCTGCTTTAAAATGGTATGTTTCTGACATTTCTAGTGAAATTATTGGATAATTTAGAAGTGTCTTTAAGAATAATTTTCATAATTATTTGCCTTTCCAAAAGTTCTAAACTAGAGAATTTCTGACATTTCTAGTGTAATCATTGGATGATTTAGAAGGTTTTTGAAAAATAACTGTCAAACCTATTTCACCGAGTTTGAAACTAGAGACATTACAATTAGCCTTGTAGGTATTTTCACACTTTTTCTGACTATTCAAAGTCAACTTGTGCATTTTCTAAAATATTTCTATATATATTTTTACTGTGCAAGATAATATTTTCTGCTTCAAAATGGTATTTATTTGAAAAGCATTGTGCAATAATTGCAAAAATTATTTAGAAATGTATTAAAATGAAAAATGCCATACATATTCTAGCTTAATGTCTAGTTTAATATGAGAGACATTTACAAGTTGGTTTCATGGAAGACAATTGCTGGAATTACACATGGCGTTTTACAAAAGCTTCTTCGGTTTTAACCAGGTTTAAGAATTAGGTGTAATCACGATTGCGGTTTTACAAAAGCGCTTTTCTAAAACTCCAAGAACCCTTGTCACTAGTAAACGGCATAAGTCGTTAGGCGTTTTAAGTGTGCAGTGTAATACCGATCGGTTTTTGTAAGAAGCCTTACCCGGGTTTCTACTAGTTTTTAACATTTGTCCTAAACGAAATATTTGATACATTTGAAACATTTGATACATGATGAGACATCCGGTCACCACGTGTGGTCACGCTGCTATCTGGCTATATCTAAATTGAAAAATGGATGATGGTCGCCAGTTCACATCGAAATCAAGTGTTATCTTCAGAGAATATGTACATGTTTTTCTTTTACCTTTTTTATTATGATAAAGATAAATAAAAATAATGCAATGTCATGCATTTTTAATCAAATTATGGAAGATCAGTTTTGTCTTAGATGCAAAAAGAATATATTTACAGGAGATGTACTCATATATGTATGCTGGATATTATCCATAACTACATCATTAAAAGTGCACGAAAGGCGTTTTAGAAAAAACAGGTGTAATTCCAATATATAATTCCTAAGACGCTTTAGAAATGTTGGTGTAATCAGAATGGCGATTTTGTAAAGCGCCTTCCACTAAAACGTTTTAGCGGATTTTGTGGTGTAATTCCAGCAAATGTCTAATAACTGTTGAAATTAACTTTTACAAGTCATAAAATGTCTTATTTAATCTAAAAATAATATCTTCTTCTTTAAAATAGTATTTATTTGATAACTACAATGAAATCATTGCAGAAGTTTGAAGTGCCATTTGTGGTTGCTAGAGAAATCACTAGAGAACTTATAATTAGCATTGGTATTATCTAAAATATTTGTCTGCCTGTTGAAAATCAAATTCTACATTTTATACAAAAAAGTAATTTTATCTATTTTTTCTGAAAGATCATATTTTTTGCTTTAAGATGGTGTGTTTTTGAAAAATATAGTGCAATTATTAAAGAATTTAGAAGTGTTTTTAGATATAATTGTCATAACTAT